AAATTAAACATTGCATTCCTCTGCTGGTTCTGGGGCCTGGGGTCATGGGCACGTGGGGAGCAGTGGGGTCCCAGCTGGGCTTCTGTGGAACTCTGGCCAGGACCTGTGGACTTTGGAGCCGTGTCCTGGAAGCTGGCTTCTTCTGGGACTGCCCACCCTCTCCTGGCTCCCATGGGAGGCCCTCGGTGTGTTTCTGGTATCTGCGGAGACCCTGCTCCCCCAGGTGCTTGGCGCAGGGACCCAGCTGCACTTAGAGTCCAGCATGGCTGGCCCTGGCCTGGCGTCCCCCCCGAGAACCTGGACTCGTTGGCATCTTGCCTGGGCCCTAGGGCCTGAGGCCCCGGTCACTCCCTCAGACCTTGTGTGAGGGAGTGTCTGCAGATCTTGGGGCCACTTCTCCTCCGTGTCCACCTTTGGCTATGCTGCCTGCGGGGGGTGGGGAGGAGCTGTTGACAGCCTTAACCCCAGGGCCTGCCTGGATCCCCCCTGTTCCCAAGGGAGGGTCCACAGAGAAGACCCCCCTGGCTGCCCACAGTTTCTCATTGTGGGGGAGGGAGTGTGTATGTCTTGGAGTCTGTGTTAGGTGGGGAATGCCTGAGGCTGCCACAGCCACAGGGACTGGATTCTGGCTTTGTGGCATCAGCAGGGGTTCCCCAAAGTGGATTCCATTCTGAAGGGTGTTATGTGGAGGAGGGTTCTGTGGTACAGTGGCTTTGAGGATGGCCAAGGTGAGCAAAGTTAGGGATCTCTGATCTGATCTCTGATCCTGGCTCTTCAGAACCTTCTGGAAGCCAGTGGGCATGGCAGATCAAGCTGTGGAAGGAAACAGAACAGGTATTGCTTGGGAAGCAGGGGGTGAGGGAGCAGGCTCAGGGAGGTGGTCCCGGTGGGGCTGGCCCGCTTCAGGGAGAGGCGATGAGGCTGATTCAGCCCAGCCCCTGGCGCATCCCCCTCTGGCCATCGCACGCAGGGCGGCTCCTGGTTTGGCGTTTTGCAGCCCTGGGTGCATAAACCAAGCCTTTATTTTATTCTTCTCTCCTGAAGTTCGGCTTTGTTTTGTCCGGCTGAGGTTTCTAAGAAAGCAACCTAAAACCAGCTTGTGCTGGCGCTCATAGGCTGCGGGGTGGCGGCCTCACCTGAGAAGGTGGCTTGAGGACACGGCGACTGTTGTCCTAGGTCCCCAGGGACCAGACAGCCCGTCACCTTTCAGGAGAATAATGGGCCTCCTCTAGGTGAGCAGTCTGGACCCCCAGCTGTAGGTCTCCGGCCTCTGAAGTGTGGACTCTGGCTGAGGCTGGCGGAGGCTGACAGAGACACCCACCTGGACCTCTGCTCTGCCCTCCTCCCAGGTCTCAGCGGGTGAGAGTCCCCGGTGCAGCTTACCTGGGGCGAGGTGTGCCGGCCTTGAGCTGAGGGGCCTTACTGATATTGGGCTCTGTGGTGACCTTCTGAGGTTGCCTGACCCCTAATTGACAGGCGTGCATACAGATGTGCAGTCATTTGCTGAGGCCTGGCTTGTACACCAAGTGGCTGGTGCCAGGCGTGGCACGTGGGGTGGTGCCTGGCAGGACCCAGATTTGAACCATACTGACAGGCCCACGGTTGGAAGGCATACAGGCCCTGAGGACCTCACATTGTCCCCTCCTGTCAGCTAGGACCTGTGGCTGGGTGGGCACATGACGCTGCGTCCCCTTGTCTTGGGGCCATTGGGTTTTTCTGTTTGCTCCAGGAAAAGGGGACCACTGGGATGACATAGCCCAGTCTGGGGACCCCACGGCTTCTGGCAGGAGATTCCCCAAGGCCAGGCCTCTCGGGTCCAGATAAAGGTGGGCTGGTGGGCCTGCTGCCACCCGGGGCAGCAGGGAACAGCAGTGCTCCAGCCACGGCAGGGGCTGTCCGTGGCCCCGCGCAGCTTCCCAGAGGCAGTCAGGGCCGACGCCGAGGGTATGGTGCCCTAGGCCTGGCCTTGAAGCCTGCCCCACTGCTGACCAGGCTCGGCCAGCAGCCCCTCTGTGCTCAGCATGCTCGGGCACCCGCTGGACCTGCGCTCGTTTCATTTGACCTGCTGGTGGGTAGAGGCCGAGCCCCGGTTTGAAGCCCAAGCCCAGGTTTGAAGCCCGCCTGGTGTGGGGTGGGGCTTGGGCAGGAGGTCCGGCCCCCAGGTGCCCAGAGCGGCCGGTGGGGACCGTTGCTGTCAGTGCTCCAATCGCAGTCATCGCCCTGTGTGGGGGGCACAGAGCCACCTGCGGATCGCACCTCCGGCCCTGCTCACACCTGGGCTTCTTCCCACTCCCGTTCAGGGACTTTTTATCTGGTCTCAGATGCTGAGTCCCTGTTGCGTGAATGGGGAGGCGCCAGATGGCCCTTTCTTCCCTCTGGCTGCTGTGGGGAGGAGGCGGGGGGAGTTGCTGCCTGTGGCCCAGCCTCTCCCGGCTCCAGCCGCCAGTTGTCAGGTGAGGGGGTAGTGCTGGGTGCTGTGGGGGACAGACTGGCCCTCTGCAGATTTGCCCCTTCTTGTAGGCTGAGTGTGCTTCTCTCAAGCCTCAGTTGGTGCCAGGAGGGGAAACTGAGGCTGGGCAGGCCAGTGGTTTGGCCCCAGGCCCACACAGTCCATCAGGTGGAGGCGGGAGCCTAGAACAAGGTGCTGTCCTCTGGAGCAGGACAGGTGGTGCGGGGCAGAGCTTCCCCCTCCCCAGGGAAGGCTCAGGAGAGGTCAGCCCCCTGGAGCCCCCCAGGGCAGCTCAGCCGCTTTTGTTACCTGGGGGTGCTGCTGGGCTGGCCCGTGAGGGGCTGGGCTAGCCCTGCAGGGGCTCCTGGCTGCCCGCCTCTGCCTCCATGGGCCTGGCCCCACTGGGCTCTCAACGTTGCTTTTTCACAAAGGAGCGGACGCAGATTGGAGGGTTGGGGACAGGGTGGCTTCCCTGGGCGAGATGGGGGTGTCTGGTTGGACTGGTTGGGCCTGCTGCTGTGGGACCCCAAGGAGAAGGAGGGGGCACTGTGGGCGGGGTGTCCGGTGCCCATGGGCCCTGGACCTCTGCCTTGCCCATCCATTTCTGGGCCGCCTCTTCTCTTTCTGTCTCATTTTCTCATCTCCCTCCCCCTCCCCCCACCACCCTTGCGCCCCCTTGCCCCTCCCCAAAGGAGTTGGGCGGCTCTGCCAGCCCCGCAGACTGTTTGGAATAGTTTAGATGCTTTGACACTCGCCTGTACTGGATGGCAGGGCGGCAGTTTACTGGGTAATTCATATGCAAAACTGCACTATAAATTTCCAGGCTGTCTCAGTTGCCGTGGCACCACGAAGCATTGCTCCGCGTACAGTACAGTATTTCTGCCATCTTTGTTTGCATTGCAGTGAGTCATCAAAAGTCTGTCTTGTACCAACACCCGGAGCCGTGCATTCCTCTGGCACCAACACTCCACTGTTTTTAAAGCTGGGGCTGGGAGCTGGCATTTACTTCAGCTCCCAAATCAAAGGCGGCTATTCATTCCCGAGAGCTGCCTGAATGTCCGTCTGCATCCGGCCTCTTCATTGAGATGCTGTGTGCTGCCCCGGAGAGCTGGGCTGGGTGCAGCTGAGCTGCGGCCGCTGAGCCCAGCGCCGAGACTCTCTGCCCCCCCCTCCCGGCTCCCCACCCCAAGGGCTCCCGCTCCGTTTGCTGCATTCCCGGAGCAGCTGGCGAGCCTGCCCCTGCCAGGCTGAGCAGGCAGTTGCCGGGCCACTGGCAGCAGCGGCCGAAGGTAGGTCTCCCCCGCTGGCCAGTGCCACCCGGCCGGACTGGCAACTTCTCCGCAGTGGGGGCATTGCGGGCTCTCCTGCGGACGGCCGCCCATCTGCCCAACTCCTGTTGCCGGGGTCCCGGTGCTCCGCCTTCCTTTGCCCCTCCCGCCTGCCCGGTGCCTCTGCGGCCGCCTGCACTTTCCTCCACAGGACAGAGCGGCCCTTTGTGCGGCACCGGCTCGCAGAGTTGGGCTAGCGCCTTCTCGGGCTCCTCCGTTCTTGGCCCCCATCTCTGATCGGGCATCGGATCCACCTTGTGGGAGCCCCGTCCCCAGCCTAGGGGGTGCCCGGCAGCATTGGGAGCCCTCCTGGTCCCTCCCCCCAATCTCCCCATGACCCCTTTCGTCACCTGGGCTGGGAATGAGCCAGCAGCGATTGGCCGGCTTTGGAAGCTGGGGGACTGGGAGGGTGTGTGGTGGGGCTGCGGCAGGCTCCCGACTCCTGGTCCAGCCAGGTCCCTTCCGGCAGCTCTCGGGGTCCTGGGGGAGCCCCTGTGGTGCGGGACGTCCTCTGCCGGGAGGGGGCAGGGGTGGCAGAGACCTTTTGGACCTGCTGGGTTCTCCTGGATTCTGCTCACTTGCCAGGGCTCCCCCACCCCTTGCCCACCTCTGCAGGGGGCCAAGGGGGCCGGTGGCTTCTGGGCCACTGGGCAGAGCTGCCCGCTTGCCGGCCCTTGGCATGCTGTTCTGAGGGAGAAGAGGGAAAACAAACCAGAAACCAGAGCCTTGAGAGACCCCCGGAGGACTTCCTTGCTCTGGGCCCCTGTGCTAACTTTTTTCCCTGGGAGAAGAGTTGTGCAGGCGGGGGCCTGCTGCCCCAGCCCCTCCCAGCCGCCACGGGGTGAGCTGCCCTGGCCCTGCCCTTCCACCCATCCGTCCTTTCCCAGCCCTGCTGTGGGGCTGCTGAGACAGGGTGTCCCCTGGCCCCGAGGGCTCAAGCTCTCTGTGGGGGGCTCAGTGGGGAATGCATCTCAGGGCTGCCAGCATCCTGTGCTATGCTGGCCAAGTGCTGAGCCGGGGTCCGCCAGAGCAGGTCGGCCCCAAGACCTCCTCTGGGTTGTTCAGGCTTTGGGGGACAGTAGTAGAGGAGGCCATGAGTGAGCCTGGCAGAGCGCTTCTCCACAGCCCTCCGTGGGTGGGACGTGGAGCTTGGCCCTTAGCGGGCGGGCCGCGGGCCACCCGGGACACTGACCGCAGTGTCTCCCGCACCCTCTTTTCCACAGATGTGCCCCGCTTGGGCCGCCCCGTGCTGAGAGTCCGAGGCGCGCCCGCTGGCACCCGCCCGCCATGTCCCAGATGCTGCACATCGAGATCCCCAACTTCGGGAACACTGTGCTCGGCTGCCTCAACGAGCAGCGTCTGCTGGGCCTGTACTGTGATGTGTCCATCGTGGTCAAGGGCCAGGCCTTTAAGGCCCACCGGGCCGTCCTGGCCGCCAGCAGCCTCTACTTCCGCGACCTGTTCAGCGGCAATAGCAAGAGTGCCTTCGAGCTGCCGGGCACGGTGCCGCCCGCCTGCTTCCAGCAGATCCTGTCCTTCTGTTACACGGGCAGGCTGACCATGGCGGCCAGCGAGCAGCTCGTGGTCATGTACACGGCCGGCTTCCTGCAGATCCAGCACATCGTGGAGCGCGGCACGGACCTCATGTTCAAGGTCAGCTCGCCCCACTGCGACTCACAGACCGCCGTGATCGAGGATGCCAGCCCCGAGCCCCAGAGCCCCTGCACCCAGCTGCAGCCAGCCGCCGCGCCCCCTTATGTGTCCCCCTCCGTGCCCATCCCGCTGCTGACCCGAGTGAAGCACGAGGCCGTGGAGCTGCCACCCGCTGCCGGTCTGGGCCTGGCCCCCAAGCGCCCACTAGAGACGGGGCCCCGGGATGGCGCCACTGTGCTGGCGGGTGCTGGGGCGGTGGCGGGCGCGGCCCCTCTCAAGCTGCCCCGGGTTTCCTACTACGGGGTGCCCAGTCTGGCCGCCCTCATCCCCAGCACCCAGCCGGTGCCCTACTCCCAGGGGGAGCGGACCAGTCCGGGGGCCAGCAGCCTGCCCACCACCGACAGCCCGACCTCCTACCACAACGAGGAGGATGAGGAGGAGGATGAGGCCTACGACACCATGGCGGAGGAGCAGTATGGCCAGATGTACATCAGGGCCGCCGGCAGCTACGCAGGTAACGGCGGTGGGAGCCTGGCCCCGTGCTGCTGCCGCGGCCGCCCGCCGATGGGCAGGGGCGCAGCCTAGGTCCTGTGTGCATGCCGAGGCGGACCTGACCCTTGCCCTGTGGCGCTCACCGCCTGGCTGGGACGTCAGGGGCCGGGACAGCCCAGTAGGCCGCTGTGCTGGTGTACAGCTGGGGGGGACCCCAGCCCAGGCGGGACGAGCTAGCAGGAGCAGGGCCCAAGTCAGTCTCGGGGGCCTCAGCTGAGGACTGGAAACTCGACACTGGGTGAGATGAGGGGCCCTCTCGCGGGAAAGGGTTCAGCCGAGTGAAAGCTCGCTGGAAGCTGCAGTGGGTGTAGGACGGCCCGGGGGAGGGACCTGCCTGAGGCCCCGTGTCCCTCTCTGTGAAGTGCCTGGCACTCTGAGGGGCCCAGCAGGTCTGTCTTGATTACCTTTGACCTCAGCCCTTTCTCTGCCCATGTGGTTTGCCTTCCCTCTAACCCTCCGTGAAGCCAGAGAGTACCTCGGGCCCGCCCGTTCTGCCCTGGCCAGCACCGAGGGACGGGCCAGAAAGTGCCTGTTGAGCTGCATGAGCTGCCCCCCACCCTTATTTTTTCAGGGGGGCTGCCTAATTGGGACGTATAAACCCAGGCTGCCCTAGCCTGAGAAGCCTGGTGTCACAGACTACATCACAGGGCCTGAGACGCTTCGGGATTTGCTGGGCAGAGGGTCCCACAGCTAGACCCCACATCAGGTGCCCCCTGCCTTCTGTGTTCCCCGAAAGCTGGCCATGTGCCTAGACCTGCTGCCTGCCTGGTTTGCATGCAGAACCCGTGTCCAGTGGACAGAATGAAGACATGGTGCTGGCAGGAAGTGACGCCCCAGGCTGGGGGCCTTGGGGAAGCTGGGTCCCCAGATGGCTGAGGTCTGGAGGGCTAGGTCTCGGCCTTTGGCCACTCAGCCTGGGTCTGTCTCAGAGCTAGCTGTATGGACTAATATCTGCGAGATTTCCACAGGACACTGGCAGGCAGATCACCCTTTTTAGTGGTAGAAGGAAGAGATAGGCTAGTGTTGCCGATGCCAAGAAACCTGTAGGCTCCAGCTCGGCCCTAGGGAGGGCCCGCTGGGCTCAGGCCTCGCAGGGACCTCAGGGAACCTGTCCTGCCATGTGCTGTTTCCTCTGCTGTCTGCTGTTGGCCACTGGGGAGGTGGGGGAACGGTGCTCCCAGGCCGCAGTGGCCCAGGACAGACCCCCACAGTCCCTGGACAGGGCTCTGGAGAGGTCAAGGCAGCAGAATCTGCCAAGGGCCCAGGGTCGGGGACTGCCTGCTGGTGGCCCTCGATGGTGCACCGTGGAGCCAGGAGAGGTCCCTGTGCTCCAGGCGCCTCCCTGGGGTCCTTTCTGTGTGGCCGGCTCCTTGGGAGGGGCTTTGGGCCTTCGCATGGCTGGAAGAGTGACGGCCTGGACGGACAGGCGTTGGGTCATCGGTGCGGATGTGTGCCGAAGCCCGGCTGAGTGCGCCTGCCCCTCACCTGGACAGTGACCCACCTGTGCCCTCAGGTCTCCAAGGAGCCAGTGGGACGGGGCTGTGTAATGGCCAGGGCGGAGTTGGGAGGCAAGGCTGCCCTGAGCTGCCCCACTGTCTTCACTGTGACTGGGCTTCTCACCAGCCTCCCACTCCCCTGCCCTCAGACAAGGTGCAGGGTCCTGCTGAGGCTGGGGGCACAGGTCCCGCCAAGGCTGTGCGCCTGCGGGGTCCACCATGCCTTGGTGACAGGAGGGAGTCCTGTGGCCATCAGAGCCCCTTGCCCCACCTCGCCGGGGTATTGGAGGTAGGATGGGGTGGTGGGAAGCTGGGAGCCCCAGGGGGCAGCAGGGCGAGGGGGTCAGCCCCGCCTCCAGCCGGCCCAGGATGCCGCAGTCTGGGCTTTCTCCTCGGTGAGCCTGTAAGTGGGACAGGGAGGGGGGGGTGTGAGTTCTTGGTTAGAATCTAGGTTATTGGCAGTGACGTCGCTGGCTGTCGCCCAGCGCTGGGCGTGCTGGGCAGAGGGCATGGGGGAGGGGGTCGTGGAGGCGAGCAGGCACAGGAGGCTATCCCCAAAAGGCTGGCCGCCCCTCGGGTGTTGGCTCCCTTACCCCGGGCCACCTCAGTGGCTACAGGGGGCTGGGCAGGGCTCTCGGAGCAGGTGGAATCTGGAATGTTCTCTGATGCACCCCTGGGGTGTAAGGAAGCTTGGGAGGCCCTTTTCCTTCCTGACCTGAGGTTCCCCACCTGCCAACAGAGAGGTTGGCCTGAGCAACCTTCTGGGGTCTCTGGCTGGTGCTCTTTATGCAGGAAAGCACGGGGTGCCCACCAATGAACTCCGTCTCCCTCCTCACGCCCACGAGGCACCGTGCGGCCCCCGTGAGGTGGGCCTCTGGCTCTGGGACTCAGGGCGTTAACTGTTACGGATGAAGGCGGCTGGCTGTCGCCCCCCTGCCACAGCCCCCATCTGTTTCCACCCCGTGCACCCTCTGTTCCTCTGGGTCCCTTCTCCTCGTTCTCTGGTGGAGGCGGAGTAGGGACCCCCGGGTGGTCTCTAGTTTGTGGCTCTTAGGCAGGTCCTGAGTGGGGGTCAGTGGGGCGAGCCCACCCAACACTCTGCCCCACCTTCCAGTAGGCTTGCCCTGCCTGGTCTCAGGGCTGGGTGCCCTCTGCCTGCAGGGTGTGGCACGGGGCCAGGTCCCCTCGGGGGCTTTGTGAAGCCGCTGCTCTGGCCTTGAGGGTCAGAGGGTGTCTGCATGTCAGCTGCCCTGCTGGGGTGAGGGGCCTTCCCAGTCAAGGCGGGGAGAGTGGGGGGCGCTGTGTTGGTCTAGTGGGGTGGGTGAGTCTGAGGGCCGTAAGGGGTCTGCTCCCGGGCTCCACCAACCACGCTCCTTGGACACTGACCAAGTTTTCAGTGGTGGCTGGAGTGGCCTCTGTCACCCCAGCCCGGATGATAGCGAGGCAGGACAGGAACCCCTGGGCCCCAGGAGTGAGGGCCGGGCAGGCTGTGCCAACAGGGCCGGTGGGGGGGAGAGGTGTCTCGGTGCCAGCCTGGGGCTCCGCCCCTTTCTCTGTTGAGTAGGGAGGGCGCCACCCCTGGGCAGGCCACTGCACCCTGGGCCAGCGTACTGAGCACCTTGAGCGGCAGGCCCAGCCCATCCTTGACGCAGGCAGATGTTACCCCCGTGGGTGTCTGAGACAAAGGCACCCCTCGGTGTTGATGCACCAGCCGTGTGTCACCATGTTAACCCTTCCCAGGAGGGGCCCCTGTGGGTGCTTTGCTGGTGGCCCTGGGTGGCCTACTGGGGGCAGGCTCTGGCGTGTGCAGCACCCATGTTCCCGGGCTCTGCCTGCTCCTACGGAAGCTGCAGATGACTCCTGCCTGCACTGGAAGGACAGGCTCCTGGGCCAGCCCTGCACCTCGCCGGGTGCTTCCAGCATGGCCCATGAAGTCATCACTGCTGCCGTCCCATCCTATGGATGGGCCGAGGCTCAGGCCTGGCCTGCAGGTATCCCCCTGTCCACCACAGCACGGTGCCCTTCTGCAGGCTCCTGCCCAGCATCCAGAGCTCAAGGGCTGCCACTTGGGGGTCCCACACAGCAGGGAGAGAGCTGCATGTGCTCTACACAGTCTGACGTACCAGGGCACAGGTGATGAGTTTGGTGGTGGCAGCCCAGTCAAGTGCCATGGCACAGTCAGGACGCAGACCCTTTAACCCCAGCGTGTCCCTGGGTCCTTCCCACCTGGCCCTGGGCCCCTGGCCCCACCTACTGTTTTCTGTCCCTGTAGCTTTGCCTTTTCTAAGTCTCTGGAAATGCAGCCATACAGAATGGAGTCTTTTATTTTCCACCTTTTTCACTCCGTGTTTTGAGATCCGTGCACGTGGTTCTAAGGGCTAGTCCCCAGTTCCCTTGGTTGCTGACATCCTCCTACGCCGTGGACAGGTATTAGGGCTTTTACGTATCTCTGTGTTCAGTTTGCATCTGTGTTTGTGAAGGTTAATTATCTGTAGTTTTCTTATACTGTCTTTGGTTTCGGTGTCAGGAAAATGCCAACCTTATGGTCCCTTCTTTGTTTTCTGGAAGACTTTATGTAAGTTTAATGTGATTTCATCAGGTCCTATTACCCGACGACCAGACAGGGTTTATCCCAGGAATGCAAGGGCAGCGCAGCATTTGCGAATTGACTGATGAAATTACACCACCTTAGTAAAATGAAGGAGAGAATCCACATATCATTTTGATAGGGGAAGAAAAAACATTTGACGAAGTTCGAACCCCATTCACAATAAAAAAAAAAAATTCATTCACCACTGATGCCTCCTGGGTCTGCATTGTTTTGTTGTTGTGAATTGTGGGAAGTTTTTGATCACAAATTTCTCTTTACTTTAGATATAGAACTAATCAGATTTCTATTTGTTCCAGCCATGGTAATTTGTATTGTTCATGGGATTTATCCATTTCTGAAGTATACTTTGATATTAATAGAGACAGTGTAGCTTTCTTGTGTGCAGTGTTTGTGTGCTGTTGTTCTTTACATCTTTCTGCGGTTAACCTGCCAGTGTGTTAAAGTGCATTTCCTCGAGACTGCACGTGGCTGAGACTGGAGCACGAGACCAGCTGCATAATGGAGATATGGGACTGTTTCCTCACCCTGAAAACTTCCCCACCTCCTAACCCCTGGAACTACGGATCTGTTTCAGGCATAGGGATCCTGCTGTCTACCTTTTTAGCCACAGTGTTCTAGACCATTTGTGCTCTTGTATGAACCCCTCGTTCATTCTTTATTGCTGCATAGTATTCCGTGTGTGCCCACACCACAGTTCATTTTTCCATTTGCCAGTTAGAGGACATTTAGGCTGTTTCTAGTTCTTAGTAACCATGGATTAAGCGGCTGCAAAGATGTGCGTACAGGTTTTTGCATGCCCTGTGGGGTTCATTTCTCCTGGGTGACTTAACCTAAAAGTGAAACTGCAGGTCACTT